AAGATTTAGTTTCCTGTGACTGCTCCAAATCAAGCTGAAAGTGTGTTTGATACGTCTTCTCCTACCTCTGAGGAGATTGCCCAGCCATCAGGCAACACAGTAAGCAAACAGCCAAGGAATAACTTTAAACATCCCACCAGGAAAGGATTTAGCAAAAAAAGACTCTGTGAAAATAACCTATTGATATTAAAGTTAATAGGATTAAAGAAACACTAATCCTCCTATCTGGCATGAGGAATGACCCATGGATAATGTTTCAAAGCAAGAAGGGATTGTAGGAGAACATTGGTCAGAACGAGGAGCAAGGCTGCAATCCACTCAAGCATTACTGCAGAGGAAAATGAAAATCTATCCAGAATGAATAGAAAAGGTTACAGAATACAGATATCTTCCTGTTCGTGGCCAGAAAGGTGTACTGCAGCAATTTTCTACTTGGCAGTTTTATTTTTATTTACATTTGCTAAGTAGACCTAAGTTTTGACAGGCCATGTAAGGGGAGATGAGACTAGCCACAGTAATATAGTGACATGCATTGCATGTGAACAACTGAATAAAGAAAAGACCCTGAAGAAGGACAATAGAAATAAACTCTGCATAAATTTTGAAAATGGAACCTTATTATTTTACAATATGTGGTGAATGAAAATTTTAAATATATTTAGCACATGCACAATACTTTTTTTGCGGTCCAGACTGGGGGAAAAAAAGCCTATAGACAGCAAAATAGAATGAATCTATTCTTTAAGCTACCTTTGTGATCAATTACAGTGCAACCTGCTCAGTTAGCTTTTCAATTACCAAGAGGGCTGTTTTCCCTAGCTTGTCATGTTGTTTGAATGATTTATTTCTAATACCACATTGATTTCCAATAAATTTTTCCTTTGAATTAATTGGAAACATAAAATAAAGACAATAGTTTTTTGCTTTCTTAGGTGTTTTTGAGACTTTATTTGTGAGTATTTATATTCTATTTACATATTAAGGAAGGGAAATATCAGAAAGAGGAAGGTGATTATGAAAGACATTTAAGTAGAGAGATGGAGACATTAGGGAAGAAGGTCAAAGTCTTGTTGATGGGAAGACAGAAAGAAAGGGAAATCCATCACTGATGTGACATGGTGATCACACATATAAGGCAGGGCTGTGTGTACCTGACTCTGGAACAGCAGACTCCAGAGCGTGAGCCCAGCTAGCCTCTGCCTCCTGTCCACACATTTTTCTGCCTGAGAGCCTGGTGCTTGCAGGGGAAGTGCTCGCACACTAAATGCAGACAGGGACAGCCTGCACCATGATGAGCAAGCCCACCTGCACTCACAGACACTGAATCCTACGCACTCTGGAGAGGGAGCCAGACAAAACTGATCACCTTCTGCACTATGCTGTGCACAGTGAGTAAAGCATCTTCAGCAGGTGCTGGGAGCACCAGGGAGTTCCTTCCTGCATCCAGGTTTGTGGTGAAATTACAGACCTGCAATACCCTTGGACTGATGCTTATAGTTTACACCTGATGTGCAAAAGGTAGTTTCTTCTCTAGAATTATTTTTGGAGAGAGCATGTGTGGATTATATTTCTCTTTTTTTCCCTGTCTTTATGACATATACAGTATCATGCCTTGGTGCTTGTTTCTCAGCAACAGCACACTGAGGGGATTGTATTTGCCACTTACAGTTTAGTCCCTCTTCAGGAAGTAGAGTTCCTTCTAAAGTGTACCATGAATGCAGTGTTCCTTCTGTTTTATGTTTTTTTTCTTGTTATCAAACTAAACACTGAAAAGTTGTCATTGAGGATCTGAGATATGCAGGAAGATTTCAGTTAGCTAATTTTTTTTCATGCACAAAAGTCAACAAATACACTTCTATTGATTAAGTTGGTATGATTTTTACAGGGTTCTATTTTGTAGAACCTTCTGAAGTAGATAAATTAGTTTCACATTTATTACTCATACACATTTATTCATAAAGGGAAGGATATTGGACTTATCATTTCTGCAGTGTAGAAAATAGGCAAATATTATTATGTGTTGCAGCACAGAAAGATGAATGCAGCTTTTAATGCTTTCTTTCTTTCTTTCTGCCTTTCTTTATTTTTCTCTTTCTCTCTTTCTTTCTTTCTTTCTTTCTTTCTTTCTTTCTTTCTTTCTTTCTTTCTTTCTTTCTTTCTTTCTTTCTTTCTTTCTCTATTTCTCTTTCTTTTTCTCTCTTTCTTTTGTTCTCTCTTTCTCCCTTTCTCTCTTTCTCTCTTTCTCTCTTTCTCTCTTTCTCTCTTTCTCTCTTTCTTTCTCTCTTTCTCTTTCTTTCTCCCTTTCTCTCTTTCTCTCTTTCTCTCTTTCTCTCTCTCTTTCTCTCTCTCTTTCTCTCTCTCTTTCTCTCTCTCTTTCTCTCTCTCTTTCTTTCTTTCTTTCTCTTTCTTTCTCTTTTTTTTTTTCTCTCTCTCTTTCTTTATTTCTTTTTCTTTCTTTTTTTTCTTTTTCTTTCTTTTTTTTTCTTTCTCTCTTTCCTTCTTTCCTTCTTTCCTTCTTTCCTTCTTTCCTTCTTTCCTTCCTTCCTTCCTTCCTTCCTTCCTTCCTTCCTTCCTTCCTTCCTTCCTTCCTTCCTTCCTTCCTTCCTTCCTTCCTTCCTTCCTTCCTTCCTTCCTTCCTTCCTTCCTTCTTTTCTTCCTTCCTCCCTTCCTGTGGAAATAACAAGATGTAATTAGAGATTGCCATGTGGAGTACAGAAAATGTCAAAATTGCATGGATCACTTGGCTTTTGTCATTTCCTGCAATTTGGTGACTTTGTAACTTCATTATTTTTAAACTAGATTTCTAATACATATTTCCCCAATAAAAAGGAAAAGATGTCTAACAAAAACCCTCAAATGCATTAGGAAAATTGATTTAGTAGAAGCCCTAGAATATCTGTCTCTAGCCAGACATGGATTATCTTCATTCATATCTTAAAGGCCAATTGCAAAAGAAAATGCTCTATCGTGAGTCTGCATGCCTGAATACCAGTTTTGAGAAAAAAATTGCTGTTGAAGCTGTTTGTCCTTTATTTTGGTATATTAATCTATTTTCCTTTTTTGAATAGAAAAAATATCTTAAATATATTTAAAATCAGTTTAAATATATCTTAATCTATCTGAAATATATCTAAAATCAGCTTTGGTAAAAGCTGAACATATTTTAGTTTAGATATACTATTGTGCCAGGACACAGAATCATAGAATCACACCATGATATTAACAGCATGATTTAGGTTGAAAGGGACCTTAAAGATTATCTCGTTCTGACCCTGCTCAATCCAGATACTTTACAACCCAATCCTTATCAGCAGAACAGAATCCCAAGACTGACTTCATGTATCAAGTGGTAACATCCTTGACACTCAAACTTCAGAAAAGCTCCTCTACCCCTGTAATAAGGGGCTAGGGTGAAAAGTTGGTCTAGCATAAGCCATCATATTCTGGATCTAAAACTACTTTTTGCAGCCATTGTCTGAAAGGCAAGCTGCCTCTGTTTCTCAGTAAATTAACCTTTGTAATACTTTTATTTCCCTGGTATGGATGCCTCCAACACAAACACAATTTCAAAAAGAATATGTTATGTAGCCCTAGCATGAAAATAAGGATCTCTTAGCATTACTTCTATCACTGTATTAGCTGGGAAAAGACAACATCTGCTTCTAAGATCTCATTAACTGCATTTGCACTTGTGCTCTTTATTTTTGAGTACAGAAAAATGATAGGTGGCCTGTAATTGCAACCTGTTTAGAACAAGCAAGTCAAACAGTGAGGTCAAAGCCCTCATTTTTCTTCTGCTCTGCAGACACCCTGAGGGTAAACAGCAGAGGGGATTCCTGTCACTTTGTCAGCTTCCCTCCTGCCAGCCAGCCCAACAATTGTTGTGGCAATGCAGAGACAGAATCTGGTGAATACTTCATAGGAAACAAGCAGTATGCTAAATTATTTCACAGTTCATTCACTACTCACTTCTTACTAGAAAATGCAATGATGATGGTGATTTTGAGAGCCATGACATTCAGTGTATTTCATATTTATTCTTTTATAGAAGTACAGGTCTTCTCTCCTGGTGAGCCAGAAGACAAGAGGTGAGTACAAAACATATAAAATGCAAATAGCTGTATCTAAAGTGGTGTCTATTATCCATTGCTCAGCCCGAGTTGAACTGATGTTTCTGATATTCTGTTCTTGGTTTGATTCAACCTTCAGACAGGTTGTTTTGGGGTGCTACTATAGAGTGAGTTTTTAAGGTTTCAGTTTTATGCTAGGCCATTTCCCACCACCCCCTTTTTTCAGTTGTTGCTCTCTCCTCTCTTTGTCTCATGTACCACCAGAAATCTATAGCAGGAGGCTCTAGATTTAGATCTCTAGTGGAGATGGGAAAGGAATCTGCTTTGACAGCAGATACCAGTTCCTGGAACTACTGGAACCCTGATGTCAATACTGAGCAGGCTGCGCTGAGCGACAGAAGCCACATGAAAAAAAATGCTACTTCATTTACAGATAAATGACTCTTCTTCTGTGACCACTTTTGCTATAGTATTGTTCTTTCAGGCATCTGTTTTGTTATGATCTTATGCAAGATATTGTTTATTAACTGTCTCTTCTGCACAGTTTCTAATATTTAATATAATGAGCTTTTGCCCAGGGACATTGATTCATGGTTGTCTATGCACTTTATTACTAAATACTTTCTTATAATCAAATATAGGTAAAGAAAAGGCACTTAAAAAAAAAAAAAAAAAAAAAAAAAAAAAAAAGAAAGAAAGAAAATACCCAAGCCTCAACTATGACAGGCAGATAAATGATGTAGACAGACTCAACATATTAAATTCCAAAGTGTCACACTCTTTCAAATATAAAAGAGACCTACTCAGATTTTAGGATGAAAGCTTTAATCTCTTATTTTTTCTTCTTGTAGAGAGTTAGGTGTGCTGAGAGCTGGAATTGGAGGCAGAGCAGAAGAGCTCTGGGTGTCTGTTTGGCAGGCCTTGCTGTGGTCAGGATATAACACAAAGGCACCTTTTAGCATATAGGTCAAAGGTGGTTTCTTCCAGAGGAAATGAAGCACAAATGTTTTTTAAGCTTCCTAGACTGTCAGCCTTCCACTGGGTTGAATCTGAGTATGAGAATTATTTCTTTTCTTTTTTTTTTTTTTTCCCAGGGAATATTTTCAGAAATTTTGCAGGTCCAGGTGGAGAGTTGGTTCATCCTCACATTTCCTCAAAGTGTTTGTGGTTGACTTCTATACTGGTTGAAGAAAAGACCTCTGGACTCAAAAGCGAGAACTTCCAGTTAAAAGTTAGATTCTCATGATGTGTTTTCTGATGCCACATTGAAATCATATTTGTATTACATATAAGTATTAAAAAGTCTGCATAATTTCACAGGAAAAATATTATTGCATTATTATACATCTGCTCAGAAATAGGTGCTTGTAGTCGACATTCTGAGATATTTTTGTGCCCACTGATATCAGTATATGGGCTTTTAAATACCACTAGAGAAATGTTTTGAAATTTCACAATAAAATGTTAGCTATTAAATTCCATACACTATATTTTAACCCTACATTTAAATGGATTTAAAAATTATTCATAATTATAAGCTTTCATAATAAAATGCTGGCAGCTGACATAGAGAAATGACATTTTAAATGAAATCATGAAAATGCTGCACTAAGAACATCTAGATTTCATGTGGCAGGAGAAAGATCTGTTGGTGCTTGGCCCTATAATATCAAAGAATTTCTTGTAGAAAATACCTGACACCACAAAATCAGTCAGTGCTTAGTATTCCATAAGAAGTAGAAAATAGTCTTAAATCTGTCTAAATTCACACTGCAATTGTCTACTCGGCCCCAGCAATTATACTTGACATCATCATCATAATTAATGTGTTTATATTTTTTTGCCTGCCTTTTGTTTTCTTTCTAAGCTCCCATGTGAATCCTTACATTTTAATTAAGAAAAGGGGTCAAAGTTCAAATGCTAAGTTGAATTGCAGATTAAACTTCAAAATATAAAGCTCAATATTGAATTGAATATTAAGCTTGGCAGTACTGGACTTTTAGAAATTATATTATTTTATTTTTTCTATTTAGTTCTAATTAAATATTTTTCTAAATGGCCTTGAGACATCAGAAATCAGCAAAAAAGGGTTAGGAATCTCAAATTGGAACAAATGTCAGTAATAGGTAAAGTAGTAACACTTGCAAAAACTTACTGTCATATTTATCTCACCAAACCAAACCAACAACAACACCAAAATTCTTGTATGGAGATGTGTGTGTGTGCTCTTATATGCTAAAATTAAGGTATGCATTGACTTTCATGGGTTTGGATCAAGCCTTACACGGGATTACTGTAAACTGCAAGTTTAATGAAGTCATGGTATCTAAAATTAGAAGATTGCCCAAGGAAATGTATTGTAAAAAATTTTGGCTACAATTTTCAACATCACTGGAAAATTAACATATAAATTAATAACACAGCTACTGCCAGAAGCGCTTATGAGGGCAGCTTGTTGGATTAGGCAGTAACACATAATTAGTAGCTATTACCAAGGATATCTAGATTCAGCAGTACCTGAGAGAAATGGGAACTTGTTTGCCCTTCTCATCTACTATTCTTTAAAATTAAAGATAACTTCTACATGTAAGGCACTGTTGCATTTAACTTCAAGCTGCAGGCTTAGCTAAGAATTGATATGTACCAAAGGGAGAAATGATGGCTTTACAGTTAAAAACATTTATTCAGAACCAAATCAGCAATGTTTGTAAACCACTGAGCAAAATAAAGATCTAAAGTAAGACTGCATATTGAAAAATACCAGAAAAAAATCAGATTCTGTATTTTGGGTAAGATCCATCTGCAAATGACTATGAAAGTATATATTTCTTCCATGGGTCATTTATGCTGTCTTGACATGAGAAAGGTCATACACACCACCACTGTCAACATTATAAATACACATTGTAAGACTGACAGCCCCTCCTTAGTGCAACTACTGTGAGGTACTATAGCTACCCTCACTATTCGAGAGTCCTGAGATTTAATTTTCTCAGTATATATGTCCATGGAGACGGCTCATATATAACACCGGAGAGGTCAAAGCTCATGAAGCAAAGAAGGAATGTGACTGGACATGAGTAAGATAAAATTCTGTTCATAAGAGCCACTAATTACTTCTGTCTCTGCTCCAAAGATTGATTATTTTTAAACAGTGAAATAGCTCTCTCAGAAAGATGAAGTAGAAGGCTCAGTAGCTCAGGTGACAGCCAGGGATTTTGTGCTCCTGATAGACTGAGATTTCAGAACTCAACTTGCTTTCTTTAAAGCGGAGACTTGAGTTGGAATTTTCACAGTGAAAAGTTAACCAGATAGGCCAGGATTTTCTGAACTTGAATGAAACTAAACATCATTACGTGAACAAGCTACCCAGACTTCTTATCAGAGATGACAATAGGATATAACTTCTTGAGCTATTGCAGTTTACCATTGACACTTAGTTCACATCTTGATTCACTGAAAATATACATGTGGATAAAAAGTGAGGAGCATATATTCAAAACAAAAAATCATTTACATTGAAGCAAATATAAATGCTAATCCAGTAGTCAAAATTGCAAAATAGACTCAGTTTTGTGTTCCATTTAGTGCTTGCAATTAACTCTAATGATGCTTACTGCCGAAGAAACATATCCAATGTAAAATTAGATTACTTTTTTTTCATTTTCCCTAGCAGATTATTCTAGATATACAGTGGCATAGTAGAAATAAGAGTACTAAAGTAAAACAAACAAAAAAAAACTAAAGTAAAACAACAACAATTAATAATAATAATAATAATAATAATAATAATAATAATAATAATAATAATAATAGCTGTTGATTTACTCAAAAATGCTCTCTTCAGGACTTAGAGAGCACTTAATTTCCTCTCCTTTTTATAGTTTTATTTTTATAGATAGTATTCTGTGGTGTCCATGTAACATTGACATATTACTTGGACTACAGTTTTCAAAGTCTTGCAATTTAATTTTTTTCCCCTTATACAGCAAGTGTATATTACACGAGTTTTAGGATTGTTTTTCAGTCAACTCCCTTCAATCCTCTTAACTCTGCAAATAGACACTTTGTATTTTATGTACAAATAGTAAAGTTTTTTAAAGAGTCATTCATATTACTTGGGATGTGAATATCACATTTATCAGTGTTATAGGGTGTGCAGAACATCATAAATCCTCATCATCTGTAGATTTTCTCAAAGTGTTAACAATGGCTGCTCCTAACAGTAACACAAGTAGTGTTAAGTACTGCAGAACATTTGAAAGCTTCAGCTGTTTTCAAGTCAGGCATGTACCTGAAGCTTTAGTTGTACTAATAAGAACCAGTGTTGTCTAGAAATATGCAAGCAATCTCACTGATTTAAGGGATACTGAAGTGTTCACAGGTCCTTGAGGGTAAAGGAGAGGAAAGATTCCCTTGAAATGACAGTATCAGGAATTGCTCAGTAAGGTAAGTACCCGAAGGTTTGCAATTTGCCCTGACTCTCCCCATGTCAACAGTAGCAATGTTTCATCTTTGCTATTACCATTACATGAGATTTATTTAATGCCTGGATTATATGAAATAGTTTTATTGAAATAGGTACCTCCCCTTTTTCTTTCATTCATTCCTGTCAAGTCCTGTCTGATTATGACGTGTTGAGGTCTTCTGCTGGATAAAATTCTAATGGGGGAAGGGGGGAAAAGCATGACTGCCCAAAGCTTAATCGATTTGATGACCATGTTAATCTAAGTCAGCACTACTCAACAGGTTTGGTTGTCCAAATGTAATAAATACATTTTACATGGGTTATAATTTCATAATACTTGGCTATTCATATTGCATATTCCAATGAATACTCTGTCTGAAGGCCATACTCTGCCTGAAGCCAGATAGCTCTGCTAAGAAGAAAAAGAAGCTAAGAAGGCTAAGAAGACAGCCTCACACTCAGTCTGTGCCCCACAAGTTTTATAGATACAAATTCCTGGAACACTTGGCTCTGGAAACTCAAGGGTGAAGTCCAGTAAAATTACCAAGGATAATACAATGACATTTGCAGGAAAGCAAGTAATCACATAGCTTCTTTCCAAAAACAGCCACATAAAATAACCTCATATTTTTTGGTTAGGAAAATGATACATTTTCAGCTACAGACCTTAATCCTATTTTAAACAGAGAGTAGAATATAATATATGTGAAAGTACAGGTCTGAAATTATGCATCTACTGAAAGATTCCTGATAGAGAGTGAAAAACAGGTGCCCTGGTGTAAAGATCTAGCTATAATACCTCACATAAACTATTGAATCTTAAGTAGATGAAAGTACTGAAAATTTGTAATGAGCATTTGAGCAAACCATGAAAAGGCAGAGTTCTTGAATTTGTTTGCAATCTCTTTGCATTAATTGATATGTGCACTGTCTATTACTAATATTTTTATGGCCATTTTTCTGGATCAGAACAATGCAGCTGTGGAAGAACTGCGTGAAAAAATTAGGCATGTCATAAGCCTGGTAAAAACAAAGCAGTGAGCACCTGAGAAATTGGACAAATAAGAGGTCAACACAGTAATCTTCAATGTTCAAGGAATGGTACAAAGATGGAAGAGATATCTTTCCTGCCTTGTCACCAAAAACTGAGAAGAGCCTTGGAGCACTGAAATACACCAGTATTTGGACATTTTCATCAGTGGACATTTTAAAGAATTGACAAGAACTACTGGAAATTGTTTAGGACATGTAGGAGCAAACAGGTGAGATACTCATTAACAAATTTCCATCTCATCATGTGGTCTGTGTAAATCTTGGCTGGTGGATAAAATTTTTCCTCCATGAAAAATTTTCTAGCACAAAAAATCATTGTGAAGTAATTTCTGAGAGACACTTTGTGCACTGGGAATGATTCTGCAAAGATTTTTCTCTGAATCCCCATTTCCTGGTCCTGTCTTCTGCTTCTTTCTGAACTAAAGAATAGATGAGGAGCAATGAGTGATCACAGAAGTAATTTCTGTCAGGAGGAACATCCTTCTTCTGTTTACTTGCATCAGACTTTTATTTCTCCTTTAACATTAGAAACCTAAACCCTGTACAAAAAATTGCTTTAAAAATCATCTAATTTTGAAGTGTAGATTCTTGGCCAAATGCTTTTACTCCACTAGCTTGTACCTGCCAGACACTATCTGCAGCAGATTTGGAATCATATTAGTAGTGGATACAGGTCCAAGTTCCTTCTGAAAGATGGAGGTGCAGGGCTTTGGTAATTTTTTATTTATTTACTCTTGGTACTGTGACAGCATAACAAGAAATGAGAATGTAGTAAAATAGCAAGACTCTAGAAAAAGTAAACCTTATCCATTCCCCCACCATGTTGCAACAGATTTAAAGAAGTAATGCATGTGATGGAACCATAAAAACAACATAATGCATATAATGGAACAATAAAAACAAACCTTTTGATGAAAAAAGCAGCTTCTGTGAAAAACATTGCAATGGTGTTTCAACATTTTTTGAGAGAAATTTTTGATGTTTTCCATATAGAGAAATGGGGAGATAAAAGATTTACCTTAATCCTTTCAGATGACAACTCACTTGTCATTTCCTATTAAAAATATCTGGATTCTATTTTCCTGCTTGAGTTTGTAGAAGGTTTTAATATTCACAGCTATGATTGTTCTTGAGACTTAAGTTTTTCTGTCCAGCAGGGTTTAGGATTTTCTTGAGATACATTCTGTTGAATAACTCTTTCTTTTCATATTAGAAATAAAATAGCAGTGAAAAACTTGCATTAAGTGAATAGCTTATATCTCCTGTACATATAAATCTGTGAGGATGCTAGGTTTATTTCCACACTTTTTTGAAGGGATTTTTCTCCCAAATACTTGCTGTTTCTATCATCAGTGATAGAAATATTCTGTGTACATTTGGTACACAGTCTTGGTTGACAGCACCACAGTATAGAGCCAACTTTTTCCTTGCCTTTACTTTCCCCACTACTCCTTACAGAGAAGTGATGTTGATTAGGAATGTAAATTTCCTACCAGAATTAAGTATTTTGCTGAAATAAAGTAATTAAAAAAAAAAATGTCTTGCTATTGTATGTTTGCCACTGGAATTGCTCAAAAAAACATGATAAGTTTTGTGAGGAGAGAAGCCAATAAATTCTGCCATGTTTCTTGGCTTGAGTTTGAACTTTGGGCCAAAGGCTGATATGATTCTGAAGTGCTGAGCAGCTTGGCAGTGAGGAGGAACTATTATCAATGAAGCAGTGTGAAGAAGCAGTGTCAGGTGTTAGAAGGAAATGGAGAATGGGAAGGAAATTGTGTTTTGTTTAGGTCAGGACTTTGCACCAATCATTTCACTGCCCTTTTTCATAGACAAGATTAGGTACAGTTAAGTATTCCTAGCAAGTAGCAAGGAGGGGATTTTTAGAGGGATGAAGTTTTTTTGGGGGAGGGTGGGATTGGGTGATGCTTTTCTTGTGGCTTTAGTTTTTATTGATGTTTTTACTGTTATTGTTTTAACAACATTTATGTTGTTATATAATAACATACATAAAGAACATACATAAAAGGATACAGAGAAACTTACAATGCAAAAGAAAATGTCATTCCTCTTAGTCAGTAAATTCATGAGAGGAGGAGCATAAACTATGCTCACTTCTGACCATGAGATCTGTAAGCTAGAATACACATTTCTAGTGTTTTAAGATGAAGATACATCATGCAAGCATAAAAGTTTATCTTGATATTTAAATTTGGATGTTTAGGAGCATGAGTCAAATCTGACAGATTTTCAGTATAGGTGTACTCATTCATAGCTGTATCAATAGTTTTCTGCTAATAGTCTACAAAATCACCCTTCAGGGGACCTAAGATCCATCTCAGCATTTTGTCCTTTTTACATTATATCATAAATATCATCATGTTTGGGATTCAAACAGAATCTCTCCTTCCACAGATAAAAGTCACTATATTTATCACAAATTATGTGCTTAAAATGAGTTACAGAGGAAAAAAACATAAACATGCAACCTAAAATTTACACTTAAAGCAATTGATTGTAAGTGTATATAGTTACCATATTGCAAAAGGTAATCAGCCATTAAGATGGACTTTGATGGAGCAAGGAGATTTCCTTGAAAGATAGATCATTGCTATGAAGGTTAGAGATTCTTACCCAATGTACTACGTTCATTAAAAGCCGTGAAACAATTATAATGTTCTTAATCTCAGTATCAAATCTCTCTTATTTCCATAAAGAGATTGAATTCAAGCCCTTTATGGAATAAAAACTTACATATTTAGAAAGTATTGCTGTTGTCCAAGCCAGGAACAAGTGAATTATGCTGCTCTATGGATGATGCTCTATTTTCTGCTTATATTTGCTCAATAGAACTAAACCCCTATTATCTAGGTGACTCAAGGGTCCTTTAAAAAATTCAGGCAATTAAAGTTCATTGTAAGTGTTTCTATTTGTGTTTTGAAATTAGAGTGGAACAATATGTTCAATTTTCAAAAATTTGACTATTGGATAATCAAAGCTGAAACAATTGAGATTACCATTTATCTCCAAGTTGTGTTCAGCCTGTTTGCTTCCTTGTTTGTTTGTTTACTTTTATTATTTCTCTCATCTTTTGGAATGGGATTTCACGGTTCTGTGTTCCTTTGTGACAAGACAACAGAGTATTGCATGCTCCTCACTTAATTTCCTTCCATGACATTCAGTTAAGCCATCAAAAAATGACTGAATGACATTCAGTTAAAAAAAAAAAACTGAATGATATTCAGTTAAACAGTCCAAAAATCACAGGCCAGTCTGGTATGATTTGCAGGTAAAAGGGGTTGACTGAAAAATTTTGATTGTTTAATTTTTCTGCTGGCATTTTTATAGCAATGATGTAGCATCTTTCCATGTTGTTTTCAAATTATTCTCTAGTAGTATTTTTCCAAAGCAACAGCTCACCTCAACAGATACTTGTAAACGAGTTAGAACTTAAAAAAATTGCATAACTGCAATTTTTAATGTAATTTTCTGCTAAATTTAAATGCTATGATGGCTTTTAATTTGCTTAATTTGATCAAATTTCATCGAGAAACCTGAGTGCTTTCAGTGAACTGTAGTTTCAGTTATCTCTCCTATTAGGAAGTTACAATATAAGAATATCTTTTGCTGAAATCTAGTTGCATCTGTTTAAGATTATGACTGAGTGAAACTTCCTTGCAGGTAAAAAGAAATAATTTTCACTACTTCTGAGAAATGCAAAAATACACTGCATATACATGCATACATATAAATACTTTTATGTACACACAGAGAACAACTTTACCTAGTCACAAGCTTTCCCACTCTCTTGTCTGAGTTGGACCTTCCAAACTCATGAAGAACCTATATCACCTATATGAATCTTGCCTTCACCCTTCCTGCCTTCAGGAGCTGTGCCAGTGGGGACACAGGGTAATTACTTTTGGAGCAGGTATGATAAAATGAAGCAGGTTGGCCAGCAGCCAAACACTTGTCAGAGATCCCTAAATCGCAGGCAACAACCATGATTTTCTGGGTTGCACCATCTGCTCTCTGATGCCACCTTCAGCTGTAAATTCCCCAAATAAGTGTCCAAAAGCCCTCCTGACCTTGCCAAGGGCAGCATCTTTCTGGTTCCTGTATGCAGGAATCAATTTTTAAGGAATTGTCCACAGTCACTGGCAGACCCTGCCTCTAGAATTAACTCCTTTCTTCTAACCTCAACCCTCCCACTGGAAATGTTTTAAAATAACTGTTTTCATACAATGTACTAAGGTTGATAGTGAGCTGCTCTTCTGAAATGATGCTTTGCAGAATAATCAAAGATGGCAATTAATAGAATTAAATACTATAAAACACACCAAAATGTAGAAGATAGATGTCAAGCAGGATTGGAGTAGCTACTTCAGGTCTTCCACTTTACAAATCTTTGTTGTTGTTTAATCCTCTTAATTTTCTTTCTTTTTTCTCACAGGATGAATAAGCCTTTTAACATATTTTTGAGATATTTTAAAGGTCCAAAACATGATTCAGTGTCTAGATGACATTAGCAGTTACTGAAGAGCGGTAATTTGATTAGAATAGTGACATTTGTGGACAAGACAAAACTGGGATGGGGAAAAGGCAGTGTTTCAAATAGTCATATACTTTTCAGCCCTCACCACCTCTTATCAGTAAACAGTATGTGGTTACTTCTGAAAACAAAATGTAAGCATTAACGAGAAAAATGCTTCATAAAATTCTTATTTTCCTCTCTTATACCTACCATTTCAGTTACTGCACTGAAGCCAGAACACGTAAGACTTTGTATTTTATTTCGATTAATAAACCTATCAAAAGGACATAAAAGATTGTTGGTCAGGAAAAGGCCACCTGCCTCGGTAAGGTTGCATCCTTTAGATTTATTTTAACTTCACCTCTCTGCTTTGTAACTGTATCATTTATCCCCTTTGTCTATAAAAGTGTCTTTTCTGGCTCTTAAACACATTTATTCTGTTTGCCATCTTATTTCATATGTTGCCAAGTAACAAAGACCACTGAAGCTAAGTAGGTCAACTCAAAGTCTTCCCTTTTCCAAAGAGAATAAATTTAACCCCTTTTTTTTTTCTTTTTTTTTTTTTTTTATTCTTTCCCTCATAAGAACAAATACTATGAAAGTCCAAACCTTTTTTGACTGCTTTATCTTATATATTCTCTGGAGCAGGGATATTTTTGGGATGGAAATAGGATCAGATTTGCTAAAAGACATTAACTAGCACTTCTTTTGCATGGAATATCTGTCTGTGTGCATGTCAATTTTTCCCTTTTTTCCAGGTTGTTGTTTTTTTTGTGTGTGTGTGTGCCTAGCTATCTGCTTATTTCATGTGATGTTTTGATTTGTGATCTTTTTCAGAAGTGCTTTTAGCTTTGATGGATTTGGGGTTTTTTCCCCAAATAAAATATATTTCATGGTCAAGAATTTAATGATGATAGTATATATAGCCTCTTTTTATAGTCATTGCTAATTTTAGAGAAAAAAAAAATATAGAATTCTAGTTTTTAAATTTAATTATTGACATTGAAAAAATATGTATATGCAAGACTACCAACTTATTGCTCTCACTTTGCCATTAGCTTAAGGAAGAAACATATTACAATTCTCTAATGTTTGGTTAAGGCAAGGAGAAGAGAACATTTGACAGTAACCAATTGTTATGATTTGTCCCTGGCAAAAGTTCCTGAGATCATTAGTGTCACTCCTTTCAGAGACTGTGGCTATTTGTAGGACCCTGTCTGCCCTGAAGAAAGAAGCCATATAGGGATTGCACAGACAGTAGGCAGCAAGTTGAATTAGCTGCTCTGGATGTGGTTATTTTTCCATAGGAAGGAGTTTAAGAATGCTAAGGAGGACGTGGCAGATGGAAAGCAGATGTAAGAATTATTCTGCTAGTCCAGCTACAACTGTTCACTCATCTGGGAGTGCTGATGAGTAGGTACTGGGTAGACGGACAAGGTGCAGCATGGTTACAGCCCTCCTGGCCCACCCCATGTGCTCAGCTTGATGTTCTGTGGAGCCTATGCTGCAGTAATGAAGAGGTCCTGTATCCTGCAAACATCCCCTGATGTTGACAGATCTCAAGGGACCTTCTAACTCATCATTGCTGCAAGGCCAACTTGTGACACCCATGTTTTGCCATCTCCTCCTTTTACTGTTCAATCATTCTGAACTCCAGTCTGGATGGCACAATCATTCTACCTTTAAGAAAAAAAAGTTAGAAAGTAATTCTTTCCTTGGTACTATTTAGCTCCATCTCCAAAAGCCTTTAACATAGGACAGCTTACTGCATTGAAATGAACACCACAAATTAATATTTTTCCAGTCATTCTAATGAGAGTGGGCAGTTTTGTATATGGAAATTTTAAGCTCAGGGTTTTAAAGGTGTCTTTTGCTAATATCAATTGAACTTGGAGTTATGTAAAATCAGAAGATGGGGCAATGCAGTGGCTCTTAGAAAAGATTCTCTTTACTACCTCTATTTTTTTTAATATTTGTGGATGACTTTTCATGTTCTAACAGAATTAAAGCTATCATAAATAATTTAAATCATAAATGTGATTAAATAAATGTTAATCCTCAAAGCAATTTTTTTACTAGTTTCTTTGACAAACTCCTCTGTATAACTGCCTGAAAGAAGACTGTAGTGCAGTGGCTGTCGGTCTCTTCTCTCAGGTAAAAAGCCACATGACAAGAAGAAATTACCTCAAGTTGCACCAGGGAAGCTTTATTTTGGATACTAGGAAAAAATTTCTTCACCCAAAGGGTTGTCAAGCACTGGAACAGCCTGCCCAGGGAAGTGCTGGAGTCACCATCTCTGGACACATTAAAAAGGCATGGCACTGTAGAAGCAGCAATGTAGATGTGGAATTTAGGGACATGGTTTAGTGATGGACTTGGCAGTGTTAAATTTGTGGTTAGCCTCAATGACCTCTTCCATCCTAAATGATTCCGTGATTCTATAAACACAAAGAGGATTTCAAACATAGTGCTTTTCAAATGAAAATGTGTTTTTGCCTTTCTGTTGGTGGGATTATGAGTTTTAGATTACTTTGAGGGATTCAGAGTAATGGTGAGAAAATAGGGAAAAGGAAAATGTCTCTAGTTTTTCATAGCTTTTATAAGTAAGTAAACAGGAGAGTCCTATGTTGGTGATGTGTGCTAATGGGAAAGACAAAATAAAGGAACTAAGTTCAAAAAATTGAAGGATAGGTAGTTTTTTAATTGTTATTTACTGAATTTAGTAAATCTTTACATTAACAAATTCTTTCTGCTGCTTCCCTCACTTATCCCTCAAATTGATCAGAAACCACAGAATATTATCAGCTAAATAAGAAAAACAGTGAATTGCATCTCCTTTGTGTCCTATGTTTTGCTTTGCTCCTTCTGGTATTCCTAGTCTCTTCTGGGCAAAGAATAAGTGAGGTGGTGACTAGCATGTAACAAAATTACTGGAGGACTCAGTATGACATTTGTCATGAAATGACATTTGTCTCACTGTTTTCAGCCAACTAGATTTCAACTAGAAAGAATCCATTTAAATATATCTAATTCTCTTGATATTTGAAAACCAAGGTCGCATTTGCTGAAAAATTTTTGATGCAGAACTATAGCAAGTATTTTAGTTATGCTAATTATTTTCTTCCAGCTGTTACAAGAGCAGCTGTTGTACATTGTACACAGAAAGCAGCATTAAAGGTGCAGCCTTTCTCGTTATCTTCTGCTATCTTTCTATTACTTCCAGGCCTAAGTTCCATTTCTGACATCCCAGTGGGACCTGCTAAAAATGGATACAATAAGGAGAAAAATTAAGGTAAGCATAAAAGCTACCCTTCACCAGCTTTCATGCACTTGACAAAATAGTTTGACCATGTGATACAACTTACCTTTAGTACAAAAAGGGAGAAGCAAATTAATCATTATAGATTTATATTGTGCCAAGGATCATTTCTGACTCTGCGTAGAGGCTATTGTAGAGGTCTAATAGCTACAAGCTGTTTTTGAGAGTAGTCCTCGTGACAGCAATCCTAGGCTGCCTGACCCACATATTGCCATGAACAGTCCTGTATTTCAATTGTAGGATCTGTATCACTCACACTGCACTTCAGCCAAGATAATGCTTCCAATAAGCAGGATCCCACCTTGTTCTGCCATGGGCCAGAGCAGCCCCTGGCAGCCTGTGTCAGTATCACGACTCAGCACTTCAGCATCTTCACCTATTTTGGTGCCTCATTCATAGCTTGAATTTTTTGATAAAAGGTGAGTGAAAAGAAGGTTCATGAAGCTGGCACAAAGATTTCACAGATTCCTCAATGTGGAAGCTGCAGTTTTTGGGACCACTCTTGTGATCCTATACACAAGGCATCTATGAGTTCATCACTAAAAACTTGTCACTGTGACTGACACAAGTCAAGTTATTCTCCTGGTCACTATTACACTGAGATTATGACAAAGTCACTAGTGCTCCATACAAGCTAAAACAGCCTCTTCCTAAAGTAAGAGAGCTTCATGGCTGTTAAGGGCAAGAATCCACAACTCTTGTAGGATTGTGTGGATTTTTAGAAGATATATAGAAGAGAAGAAGGTAGATAATGTGATAAAAAAGGATGAACATGCATGACAATTTATGTCTCTACAGTGTATCAGCATCATGTATCTAAAAGAGTACCCATCTTGGCACAGAAAAAAAAGGAGGGGGTCAAATGGTCATATTTGGCTATTATAAGTTAGTGATCCAATTTTTTGAAAAGGGCTGTTAAACTATTAATGGAATTGTGGATCAATCTTTGCCTAGAAGGCAGCTATTGACACATCTGAAAGCATCTGTCACACTGTGTTGGGATCCACCCCAATCTTTTGGTAGAAGAGCCGACTGAGTGGTTATGCGGGGAGGCAGTAGGGGATGTTCTGGAAAGACACTACAGTGGTTTTAATGCATATAAGAGGCAACCATGTGGCACAGCTCAGATGTCCACACAGGCAAACCAACATTTACATCCCTGTTGAATTTTCAAACACTTTCTAAAAGTTGGAAAATATCAGTCTTATGTTTCTATCTTCTTTGTAGACAAGGAGAGTAAAAAGTTTTAGAAAATTTGTCTTATAATCCTCAGGATGTACCACAAACATTGCATGGACATGCATTCAGCAAGTAGTCAAACACTTGCATTGACCATGAAAGGATGGTGGTAATTTGGGATTTTTGGGTTTTTTACTATCCTTTTCTCTCCCTTGTGCCAGAACTCCCCTTGTTTTCCAACACCAGAAAAATGTAATAGATGGATTTGTCTATATCCAGGCTTGACCATACTCTTGAATGCATAGGCTATTTTAGATAAAGGGTATTTTAGGAGGCTATGCTAGATAAAGGTGATAAGAAAATGAATTCCACAGCATGCAATATTACATGAGTTCTTTCATCCTTTCAACACAAGACACCTCAAGTTATCATGAGAACAGATCACATAACAGTTTTAGCAGGCATACAATGATACAACAGAACACAGAGTGATATTCCACATTGCTTAAATGAAACTCTTAAATTGATAGCCATGACTTACCACTGTTTTTGACTACATAAAGTCTTTCATCTGAAAGCCTTTCAACAGTATGGGAGATGATGATACCCTTTTTCTATAGAATATAGAAATGATATGTAGAGAGGTTAAGTAACTTATCTGATAGACGTAATTCTGGCAACAGAACTCACACCTTCAAGGAGTACAACCTAATTGGGTTTTGAGTCTCTATACAAGTTAGAAAAATGTTTTACTTGAGGCTTGTCTCCTAATCCCACATGAATCTAGAAAGCTTCAGCACTTTATATGGATCAAGCCTATGGTCATATTAATCTACTAGCTTTAAAAATTTAATTTGTAAGCAAGATCAACTTTATCACTTCAACATGCTCAGGCAGCTCAAATCAGAGTGAGTAAGAGTTTTACCATAAAGTCCCTAGCAACGCAAGTTTAATGCTTGTAATGTTAAATAATTAATGTTTAAATTAAGCCCTCAGAATTCTTATGACATCTCACTGTTTGCTTTAAGTATTCTGCCTGTAGTACAGCAACACACCTACCCTGTTTTATACTGATATTTTCCATTCACTTCTATGAGATAGAATCCAAATGACTGAACTGTAATGATAATCTCTGCCACAATTTTTAGAAGAAATCTGTCTTATTTTAACAATTTGGGAGATCCAACAAGGTTATTGCATGAGATTCACTCTTTACAATGCTCTGAATCTTAAAGAAAGCACAATATACACAGTTCTGACAAATAAAACTAGTACTGTACCCTGAAATTTATTTATTTGCTTTGAAAACAAACAAATTTTAAATAGGTTAAGTGTGGTATTCACGTGCCCTCTGAACACAGAGAAACTTAGCTTTCTCAGGATTTCTCCTGAGTGAAGCTGAGAGAGAAGCAGAGAAAAAAGAATAAAAACAATTCTTATCTCATTTGCTGCTCCTGTTTTTGTGCCCATGTGGAATATGATATGGAGATTGTTTGCCCAGGGTGATTGCTTGACTGGATTCTGGTGATGGTTTGTTGAATTCATTGACCAGTTGGATCCACGTGTGTGTCAGGACTCTCAGCAGAGAGTCACAGGTTTTCTAGTTAGTTAGTTAGTGATAGTTCTTGTTAGTGTAATATGGTGTAATATAGTTATAGTATAATATAATATAATAAAGTAATTAATTAGCCGTCTGAAAACATTGCACTTCAGAGCTCATTCTTCCCAGGGATTGGGTCGCTTATCCAAGAGGTTAAGTACCTCTCTCAATAGCAAGGAAAAGTCTTAAAAATCATCCTAAATTTTTGGAAATTTATGCATTGGAGAATTTATTTTTTCCCTAATAGTCTGAAATGGATATTTTCAGTTTGTGGCTCAGTTGCAGAACACATTCCTTTGTTGTGCATGCGAAGTAATCAAAGTGCAAGGCCTTACCTCCTATTCCAGATGGATATTGCAACACAAGTCAGAGAATAACTTTAAATCATGTTAGCCATGCCCATTCTTCATAGGAGAGTTTTCAGGAATATCCTGTCACAGGATATTTCAAGTTATTGAAAATAGATATATTCTACTCTTTCTGTAAAAATTTTCTTATAGTATTAGCTTTCATGGTGGTCATAGGTTGAATCATATATCTGTGAAATACCCATTAACATTTACATTAATTCTCATTTCAGGGTCAGCATTTCAAAGTAAAGTTTAACGTAAGTGTTGAGTGAAGTAACAATAACTGTACTAGTCACTCATCTATATTACCATTCATTACAAAATATACAATATATGAAAATCTTTATAGTCTATATTTAGTATCTAGTCATTATATATTGTATTCAGCCTCTTTGTCTATTGTACTTGCTTACTTTTTCTCAAATCCCAGGCAGTTTTGGATATTTTGGTTGCCTGCATTTGGAGTGAGACTGTACAATAAGGCACAATAAAATCCCCATGGCATTATTTCCTTAGTGTATAGATGATCACACAGAAGCCAATAGGTATATTTAATAAAGTCAGATCAAATCCATGGGGGAAAAAAGAGGATTATTTCTCTATAAAAATTGCTCCTATTATGTTCATTGATTTCCATTGTTTTTATTTCCAGGAAGATTCTATACACTTTGATCTATACTCTGCAATCCTACTTGCCTTATATAAAACTTACAAATGAGGCCTTTCTTTCAATAGTCAGGACAATATCCTACTGACCAGTATCAAAAAAGTAAGACAAAACAACATATTTTCCTAGCCTGTGGGTTCCTTTTGTTCATTAGCTGAACAAAAAAAGAAAGATATTTCTAGTATTAAAAAGAGGGTTTAAGTTAAATTGCATTAGAATTGAACATTTTAAAGCAATATGTAGCTCATGGACAAAACTAAATAATTTAGTAAATTAATTTTGAGCTCAGGACTCTAAAGTAAAAATTTGAATTTTAGAAAAATAATATTAATTCGAGTGTCTTCTTTAAAACATTTCTCTCACAGTGTAAAAGGTAATAGTAGGTCCACTTAACACCTAAAAGACAAGTAGTTTTAATTATGCATATGATGCAGAAGAATCAATTAAGTAACAGAGTAATTGTAAGATGACTAAGGTCAAATATGCAAGACAGCGGCAGAATAAGGAATAGAACTCTTTTTTATTCTGTAGCTACTATATATAAATGAGATGGAAATTAAAAAGTAATTAGGGGAAATATATTGAATTTGTATTCCTAATAGACTACAGGGTTTTGGCTTTCTTTTCTATGCTCTGGCAGAACCCAGGGGACTGATACCCATTTGCTGGTAGGTGCAGGAGGTAGCTCAGCTGCAAGGCATTGATCTGTATACCAGGTTGTAATGTTCTCTAATTATGCATTTTATTCTGAAAGCATGGCTCATCATACTTTGGCATATTGAGACACATATTTGTGATTTGGTGAAAACAAACTGTGCTCTACTGTATACAGTATGTATGTAAATAAAAAACAATTTCATGTGAGGTAAAACATCACACAGCCTTAAATGTAGCCTATAGTTTTCCTTGCCTTATTCTTGACCAACATTTAATAACTTCAACAAACAAAATTTTGCACTTAACATGACTTTTTTCTTTAATTGTATGGTGAAAGAGCCTAAGTTTAAGCTTTTTCATATTTCTAATTTAATGGACCAAATTTGCCTAAAATGTCCATTATATTTTTGTATTTCCAAAAAAAACGTGCAACGCTGATCTACCTGGAACTACCTTGTGTACTCATAACAATGGTATTTCTATATATATTTTAGTACACATACATAGAATTTAGCAGAAT